GGGAATTTTAAAAATTGAAATTTTTGGTATTCGTGTCTTGTTTAAAGTGAATTTCCATTAAACTGAAAGAATTAAATATGTCAATAAAAATGTATTTCCCATATAGGAGACAGTCAATATGTGATGCTCCCAGACAGTGTCATGCATAAAGAAGACCCTTAATTGGTTAACAATTTATTTTAGTAATCTTAAAAATAAATAAATAAACTACATGTAGCTTAAGTGATCCAGGACTAATGAAAATACACTAGGCTTAAAGTCTTAAGAGTTAGCAAGCAGTCATTGAGCACTCTCTGGACAAAGCATTGTTTAGCATATTAATATGTATATGTTTGCTGTTTTTCTCATTGTTTCTTTGTTTGAACCATTATACTGCTTGGATTTTTTCCCCTTTTGCCCCTCTATTCCTAATGTTTTGGATGGTTTCTTTGACTTAGAAGTATTTTTATTTATACATCTAAAAACAAAACCCCATGAAAAGGAAGTGTTTGTAGGTGTGGTAGACAGAATGTCCCCCACCCTACCTCCCAAAAACTCTGCAAATATTTTATCTTGTTATGTTAGTTGGCAATAGGGACTTTGCATGTTTGGTTAAGAATTTGAAGATGGGACAAGTATCTTGAATTATGGGGTGCATGTTTGGTTAAGAATTTGAAGATGGGACAAGTATCTTGAATTATGGGGACGGGGTGACTTAATCACAAGTGTCCTTGTAAGAGGGAGGCGGGAGGGACATAGTTACAAAAGAAATGACTATACGGGTCAGAGTGACGAGAGAAGGGTTTACCAGCCAGGGAATGAAGGCAGCCTCTAGAAGATGGAAAAGGCAAGAAAATGGAGTCTTCCAGACCCAGCAGAAGGAACAGGCTCTTTTATTGTGTTTTTTAACTCCCTGGTATTGCCAGAGTGTCCTGGAAAACTGGATAAACCTGGGATTGGAGAACTGTTTGAGGTTCTAGAATTTTCTACCAGCCAGCTTGCCTATCCAGTCATCCAGACTTCTTAAAGATGTTTATCTCTTACAAATTAGGTGGAGCCAGAAGAGCACACATTGTCCCATTTGCAAACTCCTTAAGACAGGCTGCTTGATGGAACTGTCTTTTACTCCAGTTTGTGATACAAAAAGGTTTAGATATTGAAAGGAAATTACCTCAGGCTTCCATTTTACCCTATAGCCTGGGCCATTAACATAAACATAAAGATACTTGCTCCTTCTGGATTTTCCAAGTATCATTGACAAGTAAATACAAATGCAAAGGAGTGTGTGGAGGTTTCTCTTGAATAGTTAAAATATTCAGTATTCTGATCTACACTTTTTTTAATAGCCTGCATTGTTAATTTGGAATCTAAGTATGCTCTTGTATTTGTTTGTTTTCGGGCTTCTGTTCATGCAGCATTTTCAGTGACTCCTGCACACTATTTTGTGTAGTAGTCATAGGGATTAATAAGACAACCTCAATAAAATGAAGAAGAGAATTAGAGTACAGTTTGATGAGTGCTATAATCGGCAGCTCTGTGTGTAATACACGTGTACAGAGTCCCTGACTCTGCTTGGTGTAGAGAGTGGGGACAGGAGAGACTTCACAGAGAAGGTCACTCGAGTCGAGACACCAGAAGTTGGAGTCAGTTCACCAAGCAGGCAAAACCAGATGGAAATGTGTGAAAACACAGAAGACCTTGAAAAGGATTCATGATTTAAAAGATCCGAAAAAAAAATAAATACAGTAAATGAATTTTACTTTTCTTACCACCTTTTTTTAATCGTCTTTCCTTCTACTTTGTGATGGAATGTGCTTCCCTTTTTCTTAGCTTCTTCCCTTTCCTTTAATAACACTTTCCTATTTAAAATCCCAGTTGTTTTTCTACAAAACAAGAACATCTGTTTCCTTTAACCCCAAGACTAAAGTCTTATATCAGCAGCCTACAGATGCTAGGCATTAAGAGGAATGTATAGGTAGGCTAAGCCATGGTAGACTAATGTTTGAAACACTCTTTAGACCAGTCTGAGTACATCGAAAAGTCTTTATCAGCTAAGATAATTGTTTAAATTTTGGGATCTATAAACCCCAAGAACAAAGTTGTATGTATTGTATATTGAGTACTTTTAAATGATTTTCATTTGTAAATGGATTCACGTACAAATATGTATAACACACCCTACTTCTTTAATAATAGGCATGTTTCTAAGTGCCTCTTAAAATCTTTTATTATGAAAAAATTCAAACATAATAGGTAGAAAGAAGAATACAATGAAGCCTCATATACTCAGCATTTCATCAACCGCACACCTTTCACCACACACACACTGGATTACTTAGAAACCAGTCCCAGACACCATATCATTTTAAGCATGTTTCTTTAACAAGACATTCAGGGAGGGAAAAAAATAAACATTGCAAAATCATGAATTTAGATACTCCATTAGGAAGACGATAAACCTACTTTGCAAATTTATTTTCCAGCCACTTTACTACATAAATTCTTTGCTTAGTACAGTAAATCTGCACATCATTCTCTAACTATGCAAGTTCCTGAATCTGTGGGGATGTTTTACATGCTTTTGTCCCTTCCGGAGCCTGCTCTCTATTCTTTGCCCATCTATTTGTAATATGTCTTTCAAGGATTGATTCAGTTCCTGCTTTCTCCTTGAAGCTTTTCCTGGCTTTTCTTTGTGAAAACAGCTGTATTGTGTGTGTTTGTTTCTTTGTTTGTTTGGTCATCATGGCTCAGTGGTGACACATGCTAATGAGTTTCTATTTAGTTTTTTTAAATATATATCTCTTAACATGAGTATAACTGCTGTATGCCTCAGTTTCATGTATAAAGTAAGGTTATTGATATCATCACATATGCGGATAAATAAAATAATCCAAAACAAGGACTCGGTGAATATCAGTTGTTGTCATTAGCTTTTGCAAAGTCCTAGATGCAAGGAATCATGATATGTACTTGTTTAATCCCATGTCTAGCCTCATACTCCAGAATAGATACTAAATATACATTTAGTTATGTTGGCTGCAAGGAAATCTGTGCTTTTTTATATTTCATGACCTTATTGTCAAATACTGTATTCATCAACATATTCATATACATGTTCAAAATACGATCTTTGAAAGGTAAGTGTTGTGAAATACTGTGTTTCCTGTCTAAAATTGATCATGTGTTCATTAATGTCTTTCAAGTTATAAAACGTATATCACTTGCCTTCACATGTGCAAAGTTAAAATCCATTTAAAAACCAAGGCATATTAAACTTTACACTTGTTTATCAATGAAGAAATTATTTCCATAGAAAAACAAAATAATACAAAAGATTTTTGCTTATCTTTTTCAGACCACAAAACATAACACTTGGAAAATTTGAGAAATTCAAAAAAAGTTGAGAATTAGGTTAAAAACCTTCTGCAGAAAATCACTGGATTCTCCCCTCTTCTTTCCATAAAGGTTTACACAGCTAAAGATATTATTGTGAAGAAAAAAAAAAGCGTGCTGCTTTTCCTACCACTTAGCATTTTTTGTCCTTCAGGATATTGGTAAATAACATACAACTTTTAAAAATGTTTTGAATAGTTTATAAGTATTCTAAAGATGTATGTATAAAAGGTTTTAAAAATATTGCTACAATATTTGAACAGGGCTAGTTCTTTTTTTAGAATTCTCCTGGCTATTTCTTAGTTTATTTTTTCACAAGAACTTCAAAATCAGTTGCCTGTTTCAGAATAACTTGTTGGTATTAGGTCCATTTTAAATTTACAGATTAGCTGTCTGATGTTGCCTTCCAATGTAAGAACCCAGTGTACCACTTCGTCGACTGCTGTGTTCTTCAGTACGTTTTAAGGTTTCATCAGTTTTCTTCTTTGATGTTAGTCAAAGCTTAGTCAAATCTGTTGCACATCATGTTAAGCTTATTCCTAGATAGTTTGTTATTATAAATGAAGTCTTTTTTTTTTTGCCCATTATATCTTAACTGGTTGATAATATAATCATGAAGGCTGTTGATTTAAATATTTTAATTATACCCAGCCACCTTACTTAATTCCCTTATGGCCTGTAATTATTTTTCACTAGATTCTTTTGGATTTATTATATATACAGTTGTATTTTTGCACTTTTTATTTATTTAACCATTCCTTATTGAGCTCCTGCTATGTGTCAGTTACATAGTCAGATGCTAGAGATTGATAAGACAATGTCCACTCTTCAGGGGTGAGTATTAATTAGAATAATGTGTAACAATCTGCTATGTGTACAGAAAGAAGAGTTCTATATGGAATAGGAGAGGGGAAGCAAACGAGTTCATGGAGACTTCTGGAAAAGATAATGCTTGAGTTGAATTTTGAATAGAGTAAATACACCTTCATTTTACTTGGACTGGAAATTTGTGATTTTCTTTGATTCCTTTATTAAATTTATTGAGTAACTTCTAAAGAATCAGCAATGAATGAGCAAGTGCTTTTCTTTCACCAAAACTGAATAACCTTTTATGAGTCAGTGCATGGAACATGATTGCTGAAATTTAAAACATTTTTGTCCTAAAAGAATTACAGAATTTAAAGAAACTTTAGCCAGCATTTAACCTATCTTCCTACTCTCCACCCAGTTTTACAGATGTGAAACAAAGACTGTGAGAGAGGCTAATAGGTTGTAGTCAGCTCCTGGCAGAGTTTAGAAGCTATGCCCCACTTGTAGTCTGGGTCTCTAGAACATTTATATTAATTACATATTGATTCAGCTTTGGTGGGCTATCTTAGATTCATGACATTTTTTATCATGTTTTTAAAGTTGTTGAACTTACAATTTTTGTTACATTTTCTCCATTCCTTAGCCCAAAGAATGAAAAAGAAAATACACTCTTAGAATCCCTCATTACTGTATTCTGGTTTTAAGTATTCTCAGACATGGCATTCTGTTTGCCTTTTTGAAGAAAAAACTATGATTCTTTATATGGACTTGTCTGGCAGTTTTTCTTTTGATACTAATTTTTCTTTTTCTCTTTTTAGTCTGCCATTTTCAATTTTCAGAGTCTGTTGACTGTGATCTTGCTGCTCATATGTACCTGTGCTTACATCCGGTCCTTGGCACCCAGTCTCCTGGACAGAAACAAAACTGGGTATGTCACTTGTGACGCCTGATCACCCAAATAAGTTCTTACAGCCACTGAATGTAAATTACCGTAAATGTCATTAAACAATTTCATTTCTGTATGTAACTTAGTTTTTAATAACTTTTTATATTTTCCTCCTCCATTTAAAAAAATCTAAAAACTTTATATTCACAGAATCTTACTAAATATAAAGCTAAATATCATAGATGACATGAAATTTACTATACTGAAGAAAATGTATATTTAACAAGGTGAACAAGTATTTTTTTCTGGGAATAAGAAAATGATCAGTAAAGTTATCACATTTTGAAAGCATTAAACAATTTGTAAGGCCTGTGTTCTTAAAAGTAATAATACAGACATTACCTCTTTAACCAAGACTGCTATAATCACATGAACTCCCTGTCTGTTTCATAAGTTAAAATCTTTGAAGAACTTCATTTAGTTTACTTAAACAGTAGTAAAAATTAAGTCTCGGGCATGTCACATCTTTTTTAATTATTAGGTTCATACCCCCCTGCCAAAAATTTAAGCTCAATGTCATAACATACGGAAGTAAATTTTAAAGTGTCGTGTTCATAATACAGGAACACGTGTTGAATTTAACCAAAAGGAAGAGTATATTAAAAAAAAGAGCTCATGTGGTAAATATGTTTTCTTGGCCTTACATATCTATTAATTTCTGTGAATAATTGTCTTAATCCTTTCTCGATGAGAGCCTATACCTCACTTAATAATTTTAAGAAATAAAAAGATGAAATAATAGAATATTTCACATAGGAATAATTATCCCCAGCACTCTTTTTGGTTTTAATGGGAAGAAAAAGGCCAAGTTAGGATCCTGAAAGGTCAAACACTTCCACTAATAAAAGCCTCTACAAGACGTCAGATGGTAGATACTAACTATGAGATTACTGATTTCTGCTTCTTTCCTTCAATTTTATTCTGTCTTTGGAGTCATAATTAGCATTTACTCGAACATCCCATTATCTAAATCATTTTGGCTTTTTTTTTTTTTACTCTTCCTTTTTATTTCCTAGGGTTGTTTGAATATCTGTAAAAGAATAAATAGAATTTGAACCAGTTTTGAAAATTGAAAACCAGTTATCCTGTTCTGATAAACTGTTGGTCTAAATCTATGTCTGTTGGTGTGAAGGATTTTATTTAATTTACTGAAACTGAAAACAGATGCTATTTGTCCATCAGTTTTTATGACAGTGCCCCACACCCTTTGTAGACATTGTCTTCTCATACCACCTTTTTTTTGAATTCCTATTGCACTTAATCTTCAGCACTCAATTTAATACTTTGACCGTTTGTTGAAATTACATAATTGTATTTGTTTCTTACTTGTGTGTGAAGTCTTTTTACCTAACCAGTTTTATTTCCTACTTTCCTTTCTCTGTGATCCCAAAATACTTATAGTTAAAAGTGTATGGTAGGAACCAGAAAACATTCTCATTGATCAGTTGCTTGGAATTCCAATATAATACATAATGTCCATTTAGTAAGATACTTTCAAGTGTTTATTTCATTAAAGAATAATCACATAGTAGTACCATAGAATATTTATACTTTATTGATACTGTTAGGAAGAAAGTAGATCGCATGTGGAAATGTCTGCTCCTCATTCCTTTGGGAGCAGGAATATATCCATAACATGCTACATTAGAAAAAGGAGTTCTCAGGGCTGCCAACCTTACAGTAGAGGTTGAGTAGTAGTATATTTCTCCTACATAAAACTGCATAAAAGCCCAAAGAAATGGCATGCCTACTTTTACATTTTAAAGTATATGCTGATGCAATCTAGGGTTTGACAGTGGCCACGGTGGGAATTTTTTTTTTTTTAATAAATTTAAGTAGCTTTTAATACGCTAACTTTGTTGTTCCAACTTTCTGATGATACTTAATAGATTATTAGGACTGAAAAGACCTTGACTCTGATCATATGGCAGGACAGTTGAAGCTTCATTCCAGGCATCCTGCCTCTGAGTCCCTCAACCAGAGAAGCTTTAAATCAGTAGTGCTTATTATAATTAATAGAGTTTTGGAATCACGGAATCATGGCATTGCAAATCACTAACCCATTGTCTTCTATTTTTTGATGAAATGTCAGCTGATTTTAAGTGATACCTGGAACTACTGTCACATGTGCCTTTCGCCTTGTGTGTGGAACTGAACACAGCACCTGGTGGTCACTATTCTACAGATAATAACTCACTTAATCCTAAACAACCCTATCGAGTGCTGACTTGCTATTACAGAGATAAAAAAAAAAAGTTGCTCACATTTATGTAACCAATTAAGTAGGATTGAATTTTAGACACAGTCTGGCAATTATATAATCTCTCACTTTCTAGATTTTTCTTTTAGCTGGAAGCAGTCCATTAAATGTTTATGTATAGAAAAACGCTTTCAGAAAAAAACATTACTTTTAAGAGTGTACATATATGATCTGTCTCTTCTATTGTCAGGGCAAAATTGTTTCACCTGTCAGAATGTCCATATTTCAAAATAACTTGGTTTTTTACCCATTTCATTTAAGCTGAAGTAAGAGACTTTTTGTTTGAAGGTCAGGAAGTTATACTTCAAAGGAGGAACCTATATAGAACTTAATTTAACCAGTATTTCTTTCCGTCTTAATCATAGTAATACAATGATTCATTAGCCAGCCATCTCTTTGGGCAAAAAGAGTGTAATATAAATTTACCTGAAATTAAGTATTATGATTTTGTTATGCCAATCCTAACTTGCTACAATTAACAATGTTAATTTATCTTGATTTGCAAGATAAATTGCATGCATTAACCATGCATTAACTCCATTTATTATTCTATTCTTCTGTCAAACCAACAAAATAGTTATCTACAATGTTGTTATTTTTTCTGATATCTGTATTCATTGACTGACTCAGTTTTTTTAATGCCAGTACTTTTATGTCAAATAAGTGATATAGCCACATAATATGTATTTAACTCATAATATATTTAGTTGAAATATATTTAAGTGGACATCTTCATCTTAATTCTTTTTATTTCTAGAATGTGTTTTAAATGCCGTATTTAATTACCTCATATACAGTGTTCCTAAACCAGGGTTTTCTACTTATATTGAAAACATAGGCACGTATTTTTGTATTCTTCCTTATTGAATAACATAGTTATATAGATGCTATCACTGGATTTTATAGCTGTAGATTGCTTAAATATAGAGTTACATTTTTTAAGGTCAAAATAGTAAGTTCTTGTACAAATGTTTGCCACTCGCACTAATTTACCTTAGGTTTAATCTGTGACACCTCATACATTCCAGTTAGTAATAAATTACATATGTTGATGGTTGGTAAGTTATTCTACATAAGTGGCTTGACACTGGACAAATTTCAGTTTTGAAGCAAAGCATCAAAGGTTTAAAATGCTAGTGTAATGAATTATCTCTATGATACTGAATGATTTACCTTTTCCAACAATCAGTAGCTGCTTTTTTCTTTTTTCTTCTATGCAGATTGTTGGGTATATTTTGGAAGTGCGCCAGAATTGGTAAGTGTTTCTGTATAATCTTCATCATTTCTTCAGCTGTAAATTGTTGGTCAGTTTGCTTAGGTTGTATTCAAATTGAATATCGGTTTCTAAAGTGTACGCTTCTAATTTACTTGAATTTTCAAAAGTTCGTAAAGTTCTACCAAATTCTTTTCTTTATGCTATTTAAAGCTAGAGTTGGTGGATATGTCATGATACTTATTAGCAGGGAGATGGAAAATATGAGAAAAGTCTCTTGAAATTCAGATATCAAATACCATGCATTCCTGGTTTTGAGAAGATTTCAGACAAGTATGTATAGTTTTATGCTCATATGCTTATAGTAGAGAGCATGTTTTTCTGTATAATGTGTAGCATTTTGATAACAAGATGAATTTCCCATCAGTGAAAGGCATGCTGAGCAACTGTCTAAACATAATCATTTTATTGTTTTATGCTAAGTTGTGGAATGTTATTTGTTACTTTTAGAAAATATTAACTTTTGTTTTTAAATCTGTGGTCATAGCTAAGCTTTATTCTGATTGATTAAGCTTAACATGATTGCAATTATCTTTTAACTTTTCATAATAAGGTTAGTAGTATCTTCAGTGTATTTATGCTTAGATAATAATATACTCTTGTCCCATTTCCCTGTAAATATATGTAACATTTAGCACAGTGCCCATCAGCACATAATAAAGTCTCAAAAGATTGGTAATGAATGAATTAAAATGTATTGCTGTGATTCACCAGTATTCTTGAAAATAGATTATCTATCCTTTTTAACATACCTTGTTCTAACACTACTTCAGGGCATTTGTACTTACAATTTCTTGTCTTCTTTGGAATAATTTACATGACCTCCTTAAAAAAATGATTTTTATACTCTTCTTCTAACACTGGATTTATACAGACTAATTTTTTTTTTTAATAAGGGGTCAGGCTTTCGTGATGAAGAAAATAATCTAGTTACCCAATCTGACAACTGCCCGAATTTCCTAGTTTCTTTAAATAGGATGGAGAATTTAAGAATCATCTTTAGATAAGCTGTGTTCCTGTTACAGTATTATGTTTTATTTTGGTTGTCACTTCTCAGAGATGTGGAAAATTTAGAAGTTGCTCCGTGACAGGAAACAAAATTAATTAAAGGTTAAAAAATACAAACTAAACTAATATTTACAGCTTTTTTTTTTCTAAAAAAGACCTTAGAATTGATATATCTACAGCTAATTATAGGCATAACCTCATCTAAGCTAAGGGTTAATTATAGAAATTTCAAATTCTTTAAAGCATCTTCTAAGATTCATGTTGTTAACATTGAAATAATTTTGAGAGAGCAACTTTTCTTCCCTTGAGCTTTTAACCATAGGCATGACCTATTCATGGTGGCAGTTGTAAGTATAATACTCAATTATCTGGAAGTTCTTTTAAAATCTGTTATGATGAGATTATATGATTCCTTGGCCTTTTAGGTTTCTTCCTCTAGAAAATGATAATATAAGCACAAAAAGCTTTACAGAAAAGTACCTCTGTCAGGACCCTCATTCTAATATATTGATTATTAAAACAAACATCTTTCAGAGAATTAAGTGTGCTTTTAACATGTTAAACTGTTCTTCCTCAGGGTTCTTTGTCAGACTTTATTATCTCTTACAGTGATAGGCATGAAAATCTTTTTTGCGGGTGGGGGTAAGAAATATCATTGACTTTAGTTTGGTGAAGCACAGACATGGATAAGTGGTTGTCAGTCAGGGCACACTTGACAGTGTCTGGAGAAGTTTTTGATTGGCACAACTAGAAGAGAGGTGTATATATACTAGCTATAGGGTATGCTAGCTTTATAAACATCCTGTGATGCATAGGGCAGCCCCTTCCAACAGAATTAGCCCAAAATGTCAATACTGCTAAAGTTGAGAATACCCAATCTAGATTTACAGAATTTTGTGGTGCAGACTTATCTGGCATTCAGTCATGCTCAACAGCTGCAAGTCCTAAAATAACAAAAGAAATCGTAAGCACTTCAAAAATAGCCAAAAGAGAGAGATAAGAGACAAAATAGTACCCTCAATGGCTAATGCTGATAGCTAGTGGTAAATGTAAATATGTATAAACCAAATTGTTTGCTTCAGAGCCAAGTCACTCAGAAAAAGAAATAATGTTGTCAAAAAACAAAGTAGTAAATAGCTCAAGTAAACCTCACAGAGAACACAATGGAAGAGCAAGCAAGTGTGAAAGAATAGAATATCACTGTATTAGAGTAATTCTAAATACTCATTGATAAAAATATAAAAAGTGTGGAGTTAGGCTGAGCTTTCCTCTTTGTTTATTATTAAGTTGCTAATTCAGAAATAAAACATTAAGGTACTTTAAATCCATTTTATGTAATAAATATGGGAAGTACAGCTTCATTCATTAGCCAACAACCCAGGTGACTCATTTGTCCACAGTTACTACTTGGAAGTATAGCTAAAAACTTAGGACACCAAGTTTATAGCTTCCTTAATGCTTTCCTGTAGTCATACCTATTTTTATGTCAAATTATAAACTACCTTTTCTTTTTTGCTTGCTCACTCATTTTTATTTTTCTCTCTTGACTATATGAATGTCATTGGCTAAATAGTCCAGTTAAAGTATTCATTCTTGCCAATTATAGAAAAGCATTAGCTTTTCATTTTGGCAAAGTGGCTTAGAACATGTTGATGCTGATATGCTGCTTTCTCAAACACATGCTCCTCTTATCTTGACACAAAATATATCCACAAAGAAAGGATGCAATTTTAATGGGGAAAGACCCAGCCAAATCATCTTATGTTACACATCACATTACAGCAACTGCTTCACATTCACTTATACAGAACCAAGACCAGACAAGAAGTAACATTCTTAACCAAGTTCAACCAAAGATGTTTAACTCTACCACATGGCAGTCTCTTTTATGAAAATTAAAAACAGGAAAATTAAACCCATATGTAAATTAAAAGCATTCTAAGTTGGAAGATGAGGAAGAGAACTTCCTCAAAAATTGATTTCCAGCAGATGGAAAATTTAGGACAATATTAATTTCACTCTTAGGTGTTTAGTAAGACTGGTAGGCAGTGAGAGTTTCTAGCCTCAATAAGAATGACAGGCTTGCTTATCAAATCTACCTGAAATTTGTGTCAGAATGAGTTGGTTCCTTTTTAAATTTTGTTGCATAACTTGAGTTTTTTACCACCAAGGGAGTTAGCATTGCTTAAAGATGATAACCCAAGGAGATTTTTAGCTTTAAATATTTTATTTCTAGTTGAGATAGTGGTATTGTGAAAATGCTAATCTCTCACTTTCTAGATTTTTCCTTTAACTGGAAGCAGTCCATTAACTGTTTATGGAAAACACTTTCAGAAAAAACAACAAATGTTTATTTTATTTGTATGTGTGCGATATCTTCTGTCGGTATTGTCATTGAACAGATACAAAGATACCTGCTCACTAACGGTACGACTATGTGCGCTCGGTTGAGGATTTTAGTTGGTGACGGTTTGGTGTTTTTCAGTGGTAGTTAGCTGAACCTCCTAAATGAAATAAGGAACTTAGATACTGGAAAAGAGCTGGTTTTAAACATCATAGAAAAAAAACACAAGTGAGGGATGCATACACAATATCTGCTAGAGGTACTGCCACAAACCCAGGGTTATTTCTAGAAGTAGCACGGCACTCTCCATCCTTTCTTGTGCATCCTCAAGGCAGCGTAAACACTGGTGCTTTGTGGATTGTACAGCCTTGCAAGGAAGATGGATTCACATTAACACACAATGACAAGATCCCTATCTGTTGGCAAGACCATTTCACAAGCCAACTCCAGGTCTATGTCATGCAAAGGAAAGTCTCCCAAGTATAAACACTCCTTAAACAGATATGAAAATCGACTCATACTGCAGTGATTGTTTTAAGTTCTATATTTCTGGCCCTGAGTGATCATACTATAAATTCCATCTTGGAAATTATTTTTCCTAATATGTTTTTATTAAGCATTTTATTTCATGCCCATTCTTAAAATGCAGTTTTGTTGATCACCTGCTGTTTATTGTCCTGTTTTTGCTTGATTTTCCCTTAAGTATCAGGAGTTGCTACTGATGAGGAAAATAAATATGGCTAAAAATTGTATGCTGAATTTTTTTATGAGAAGAAATTTCCCTTTCTACAGAAAATATTAAGCAATATTTGGCCTTAATTGAGTTTGAGATCATTTCTCTTAGATCTGTGTCCTCCATTCTGTCTTATATTTTTTATTATGTGGGTTTGTGCACCTGCACAGGAATGGCACATTGAGGGTTTTCGAAACAACTGAAAAGGAGGTGGTCTTAGAAATAAATTAATATAATTTAGTGTACTTTGTTTTTTGTTTTTTGTTTTTTTATTTTATTTTAATCATTGTTCAAGTACAGTTTTCTCCCTTTTACTCCCAATCCAGCCCCCCCTCCCATAATTTAGTTTACTTTGTATTGTATTTGCCTTTATGTTGCATCTAGTTCTTCTTTTGCCTACTTCCCAAATGTATGGGCTTTATAAACAATAACTCTGTCTTGATTTTGATGTGGCCTTCTCTCATTATAAGTAATAACTAAATCATATCTATGTTAGCTAAGCATTTAACCAACTTGAATATCTCCCTTGTTTTCAACAGGTGAACGGAAGAGTCCTTATGTTGCAGTGTGCTGTATAGTGATGGCCTTCAGCATCCTCTTCACACAGTAGCTTAGAAGAATGCCTGAATTTAATTCCCATTGGATTTCAACATAAAAAAGGGGACTTATCTGCAGAAAATAGTGGAAAGAATAGTTAACTTTATCTCTGAACATTGAATGAGATAAATTTCCAGCTGCTGTTTGCTGTTTTGTTATTGGACCAATGATTGTATAATTAGGGTATAACCATTTAGTACTCAAAGAGTTTGTAACAATCAATCTCAGTACTGTCACTACAATATTACATTCTGCGATTGTCATTTTGTTGTGTCCAATACCAGTTTTTAATGAGGTATCTCTAAGGCACATAGTAGAAAAAATTGGTAAATTATTCAAGTCCCTTTCACTGTGATTTGGAAGTGATGTATCTATAGAATGAGATCATATATTGGACTAGTTTTTTTTATTGCGGAAAAGGGGTTCAATTTTTGTTGATAAAGATTACATTCATGTTTAATAGTACTTACTTTACCTCTGGCCACTCCATTTTGAGCATTAACCAGAGTACCTCTACTCTTAACAAATTCTGTAGTTTATTGCAAGTTTTTTAACTATTTAAAACAAGCCTGTGCAGTTCTAAACAGGAAGATAAATGAGATGTGACTTGAGTAGTATTGGCAAAATGTTCATATTTAACTTATAAAGGGGTTTAGAAGAGCCGACTGGTGTGGTTAGTGTCTGTAGCCTCTGGTTAAGTATGGATAAATGTCTTAAGCATCAGTTTGACCAGCTAACTGTCATCATTCTCTAAATAAAATTACATTCTTAAGTGAAAAGAGCAAAACAGAACAATTACAAAATAATAATCCTATGTGGGGTTTTTTTTTCATGTTTTAATTACCATAAAATGCAAACTGTATTTTTGTTGTTTTTTAATATAGCACTTTGAATCTAGCATATGTTTTGTCTGTCAACTTGAACTGGAATGTCTTATGTAATTTAGTAAGTGATATTTGATAAATAGTTTTTAAACCTATTGATCCATGCATAATGGCATACGTGTCTTTGAGCTCTGTTAATAAAGGAGGACCCTCAGTAAGGCAAGAGGAACATTGGGAGTATAGCATAAATTTCACTGTAGAGCAGTTTATAAGTTTATGATTCACATTTCTTAAGATTCAACCAAAATTAAATGAAAATTTCAAAGCTAAGAAGAACTTAAATATCTTAGCTAAAAAATGCCCTTACTACAGGGTCTGGCAGAAGTAACACCTACTTGAGTGTGGTTGGTAGGGTAATAATATGGGTGTAATAATTTATAGTTTTAATTTGAACATTTAAAATGTCATATGGTATGCTTGAGTGTGATATAATCATGCTACAGAATTACATGCCTATGATTTTGTAATAAAAAAGGGTGTTATTTGTGCTAGACCTTTTATATAGTATTAATTAGATATTATTCTCAGTTGTTAGTTCCCTATAAGGTAAAAAGGAGAAAAACAGTTTTTTGTGTTTTTTTAAAGAATTATTTAAAGAATCTGCTGGTAGCTCTTTCCTCAGAAACAAAGTATAGAACTGAAAGCCACCAATTTTTAAAAATTAAACTACTGGGAAAGAATTATAGGAAACATTTGAGAATGGCTTGGTATGCATTTCCTGGGGTGGGGGGGTTATTTGGTTTGTTTTGTTTTTAAAGGATAAAAACTGTTGTAAACAATAGATAAAATTATTTATATTACATTTTTGGCTTAAGCTGGTTAAAAGTGGTACATTTTACTTTAGACACGGAATCAAGCTATGATAATTTCTCCTACTCTAAACTGTCTCTTGGGCTTTGTGTTAGGTCAAGGATTTTCAGGGTATCCCCAAAATAGTACTCCCTTATCAGCATATACATGCAAAGGAAGTCACCTTTCTGGGCCTAGTTTCTTAGTGGCCATCTGTTGTCCAGCTCTGCTGCCAACTAGACTTTCAAAAAACTGTGACAACTAACTTTACATGCTACATGAATCTAATATTTCAAAAAATGAATATTCTAAATAATTCTAAGACATTAATATGGCATTTTGGAGGATGTAGATGGAAGATAGAGGATGAAAACATTTATTTGGAAAATTGGTGGTAGTATATAAAAGTTTGTACTCTAGAGATTCTGAATAGAGTGGGAGGTAGCTTATTTCTGACATCAGCCTTTCTGACCTTTTGAAACACAGGTTCTTTCGGAGGTGGGAGAAAGATAGTATTCTATGAATAAAAGCAGTTAGCATTTTCTTTATTGTTTTCTAAGAGCTACCACTGAATCCTGTTGTAAAACCCAAAGGGCAGTGTAGATAGTTTTAATCCCAGGGAATATTCAGATCCTCCCTTTGTCAAGGTCTTGATGGGGTGGTAGAATGCAGAGGAGGGTTAAGGATAGATTTAAGCTTCAGGTGGACTTCCTGTGTCAGGTAGTTTTATTGAGGGATAATGGGCTCTGAGGTCCGCAGTTTCGTAGGTTCCGATACTCTGCCTAACCTTCCTGGCTCCAGAGTCTTTTGATTTCCTTCCTGGCTCCAGAGTCTTTTGATTTCGTCTCTCCTGCAATTTGTTTTGCACTGATACTTCTTGGTTGGCCTCACCTGTGCCAGTGGCTGAGCATATCTTCTTTCTAAGCAGTCTTAAAATTTGGTCAATCAAAAAGCTACATACATAGTGTGTTAAATTCTCTCTGTGGCTTTAAAAAAGTTCAGAATGAAGTCAGATGTCTTAATGCCTGTGCTGCTGTGCCAGGCACTGTCCTGAACGCTCTTACATGTTCAACTTCAGAATAGCTCTTTTATGCTACGGATAACCAAGTTTACAAAGTCAAAAATGAACTGATCTTTGACTAGTTTTGTGAAAAGACCTAGGACTTCTAAGTAGAATATTTATATTTCAGTATTCTTTTAAGAAGCATTTATAGAGTGCATATGATATATTATCACTGAAGATAAGTATAAAGTTTCTCCCCTCTGTAAGTCATAAAGTGTAGTGGTGGGTGAGAGAGATGAAGTTACTTACATGACGTGCTATGTCATAGCGTTTACTATTGAGATAATGCCTGCCAGCATTCTCACAGAAAATAGATGGGTGACAACTCAGTCAGGGACATGAACTTCTTGCCAAAGAAGCAACGTTGAAGCTGAATTTAAGAACAGTATGCAAAACACCAGTGATACACCACAGACTGCAAGGACCTAGCTTATGCCACTTGGGAATTAGTAAAACAAGCCCAGAAAGGTGGGCAGAGGTTTCATTCTAGAGCATCTGCAGTTAATTCTAGGGTCTCTCTTAGTCACTCCTAGTCACTCATACTCCCATCAATGCAAAAGCAGCCGTGATTGTTAAAGCACCATCAGCATGAAGAACAAACATGGTTGCATTGTCTACATTTCCTGGGTGTACAGAAAAGATTTCCAATAAACAAACAACGTCATGCTCTTTTCAAAGCCTTTGAGAAGTTACTGCATCATAGGAAGCTAAAAACAAGAATGGAAGATTCTTAAGGACCACTCTTTGGTATCCAATAACAGGTGTTCAGAATGTAAGTAGCTGAGCACAGCAAATCCTTGATTAACGATGTTGCAATGCCTTAGAAGCTTAACTCATTTATATTGATTAGCCTTTGGCGAAATTGGTTTTGTTTCATTGAAGGTCATGGAACCTATTGACAACATCAAGTGAGGACTTTATTATCATAGTATTGTGAATACTGCAAGCCTGTTCTCAATAACAATTAGCAAGTCACTAGCTTCCAAAAATAGTTTGATAATTATGTAATTTACATACTGCCGGCCAAGGTTTCTTTTACTTTACCCTAAATTAATCTGAAAATTATCTGAAATGCTGCTCCACAATCAGAAACAGGGGCAGGGGGGATATATATTTCCTGTCATTTTAAGAATACACAGAATCATCCTCTGGTTAATCCACATGCCTGTGGTATATAATAAAAGTCAAAATGAATTCTCAAGAGCCTCTTAATTTTTATTGTCAGATGAGTGAAAGCAGTTTCTGTAAGGGTAAAAAAAAATTGAAATTGCCTTCTTTTGAGTAAGATGGAAAGAAATGTTTCTATTTCTTTTACCTTCACAGTAATGGTCGAGGTTAGTTTTAGGGAGTTTACATATTTTCTAGTGGTGGTGGTTTTGCAACTTAGAACTGTTCAGTCTATTGTTCTTTGTTGGAGTGAACCTTCAAGAGTCTAAATGACTTATTCTCAATTATTTTTAACCTTGTCTTCAACTGGAAGCCTTTAGATGCCCAAACATTCTGGCAAGTAGCTAGCTGTCTTTTCACTACTGAAAATCTGTGAGCAGTGTCCATCAGAGTCAGAACATCCAGCCAGTTTATATCGCTTAGTGAGAAATGAAAAGGCTTCGTATGTATTACATACCTTGCTCTGGGTATCTTCCGGGCACTGAATTAACAGGCAAACTTTGTTAGACCTATTACTAAAAAAATTTTACCTAAACAGTTGAATTGCAACAATTACACACGGGTGGGCAAAAATATTTACAGTTTTGTTTCTATGAGAGGTAATACAATAAATAATATTACAAGAATAAACACTTTCTTTCCCTGGGCATGTGGTTCTGGTTGGAGCATTGTCCCCCAGACAAAGGTTTGACTCCAGTCAAGGCACATTCCCAGGGTGCAGGTTCCATCCCCAGTGGTGGTGCATAAGAAAGCAACCAATTACGTATGTGTGTGTGCTCGGCGCTCGCCCTCTCTCTCTCTCTCTCTCTTCCCCCTCCCCTCCTACACTCCTTCCTCCCTCCCTCTCTCCCTAAAAGCAGTGAAGAAAAAAAAAATGTCCTGAGGTGAGAATTAAAAAAAGAATAAACTTTCTCATAACTTAACCCACTTTTGTTTATAGTTGAATTTTGAACTCAAAAATTCAGATATTAATAGAAAAACAGTATCTTAGTTTCCTTTGATGTATATTGTAAATCCCTCACTGCTCCACTTTATTACGAGTTGATGTGAGACTTTATTTAGAAAGTCACTGAATTTCTGATTGCTGCCTGCTCAAAAGAATTCAAAATGGCTTTGCTTCAGTGCATTGAATTTAACATAGAAGGAGACAAAATCTGCTTTTAATTCAGAAAATTTGCATTACTATCCTTAACCATAGCAGGTTTGTCTGGGGTGGGAGATATAAATTGGAAATAAGGGTGGTCACTAAACACACTTTGTGGAGTATGAGAACACTGAGTAACTGCAAAATACTCAGACACTACAAAGGATGGAGCTTGCTTTGGCACAGGAAGTGGCCTAGGAGCAAATTTGTAGTGATTGAGGATTTGTGCCCAAATTTTCAAAAATGTATAATCTATGAACCACTTTCACATTTTTGATCAAGTACTATGTCTAAGCTAAATGCTGGAAAAAGATCTGCAAAGATACTAAACTTTAAAAAGAAGCAAGGAAACGTTTACAGCATGAAGGATTACAGCAAGAAGCTGGCATCAAAGAGGCATATATGCGGTATTGAAGTGTTCAAGTTATCTGCAGGCTCCAAGCAACACCAAAAGATTTGGCCTTGAAAATTAAAAGTTATAAAGTTAGAATACTCTCAATATTATTTCATTAGGGCTGCTGAAAAAGAATTTCCCTTTTCCTTTTGGTTTCATTTAATAAAAACATTGCTTATTCTTTGCTTGTTTTTCACCTAATGTTTTGTATTCACAAATGGAACTGTTAAATCTTGGAAAATGATAGTACTTTGGCTTATATGTTTAAGAAATTTACAAAAATAGCTGTAGAACACAAAATATCAGGTAATAGAGTTGGATGAGTGCTCTGAAAATATAGTTTTAATGAATAAACTAAGCCTCATTATGTTCTTAGCTCTAAATCAAAGGCCCATCATGTAGGATAACATTTGTATTCGGGCAATCCCAATACTAGTTGAGTTCTTATTAAGAATTATCACAAGCATCTTTTCAAAGAAATGTGATTGAAGCTGCTGACACTTAGAAATTGGACATAGGAAACTATTGAGATGGTTCCTGAATTCTTAGACAATTAGTTTGAGCTACCATAAAGAGTAGAAATAGTGGGAGAACTCAGGATAATTTTTGTGCTCCTCAGAAATGTGAAGTTAATTCCTTGGCATCTCTGCTTCACAATGTAGTTTTTCATATCACTTTCTATTCCTAGAAAAATGAGAACTGTTTATCAAACAGTGCTCACATCAGCTTGTACAAGGAACAGCTGCTGTTGTAGAACCTGTATTCTAAGAAGACCAACTAACCAAAACTTAATTAGATAAGCACATCCAACCTCTAAAGAAAACAGTTTTATTTAAATTGAGTGGTCAGAGAAGGCCAGTTGGAGTTGGGTGAGCTAAGACCTACAGACCAAAAAGCATGAGCTTAGAGGCAGAAGGAACAGCATGTTGAAAGACCCAGAGACAGGAAAAGAGCTTGGGGCTTGAAGTGGCCATGAAATTTATAGGACACTAGCATAAAGAACGTTCTGAAAGAAAGAAGGGTGTAAAGTGGATAGAAAAATGAGCCAAGTCACGCAGTGCTTTGAGCCAAAGAAAAGGACAGCAGACTCATGCAAAAGTCCACCACACAACGGGATCAGGTTTAGTAGTTTCTCTAAGGCTGCTTGCTTTCTTTGTGTTGAATATTGGACCTGAAATCCACAGGGAAGGGAAAGCTAGAAGCTTCAGGATGTATTAAAAACCAGTGTCAGTTATGCTCTGATTTTGGTGCTCTGGATGGCTTGAAGAAAAAGACCAAAGCCCTTCACCTCGGCGGTAAACAGTACAGCGGGCCCAGGAGTCAGAGATGCTAAAGGAGAAGAAAGAATAATTGTAGGCCCAGCTGTTAGCTCAGGCTAAAAAGGCAGCACATCTGTGGCAACAGGGATGAGCTGACAAAACAGCAGTTGCTTCACCTCTGCCCTCCAAATTTCACACAAGATTTTCCTGTAGCCCGCCCTAAGCAGAATCTTGTAAGGAAAGAAATTCTAGGAAATGTATATTGGCCTAGCCAAGATGGCACGTTACAAGGTCACCATGACCTCTAAGACCCTTCCACCTGGATCTCCTCCCAACACCTCAAATTGAATGCATTCCAAACAAAGTTCTTCATCTTCCCTTCTAAACCTGCTTCTATGTTTCCCTGTGTTTGTAAATGGTACAACTTTCCTTCTGTTATCAAAACTCTAATCCCCTAAACTCCTCTCCTCTCTCATATCCCTCTCTTGCTCCTGCCAATTTGCAACTTAGTTTTATCATTTTTATTTCTGCAGTGCCTACCCCAGTTGTACAAGTTCAAAGTCACCTGGTGATTACACAATCCCACACACGGATTTCATACTTGGCTTGATGAAAGCCCCATTCTGGAACCCCAGAAGTACAACAACAGCATTCTCTCCTACATAGACACAGGGAGAGTTATGGTCGAGGAGCCAGAGTGCTGTTATTATTATTTAAACCAAGAAAAACACGCCATAGACAAGATGAAAGATCTAATAAGAATGTGTTCTTATTCCTGATCCTAAAACTTGAATAGCTGGGCTTTCCCATGTGGAATAATGTTACATAAATAACTCAGCCAGGAAGCAGAGGGGCTGTGAAGTCCAACTAAATGATCGATGATCTTGGACACTCTGAATATCACAGCCAATGGGGTTAACAAAAAAAAAAGTGGTCATTGGAAGGTTCTGGTGAGCTGGTGCTGGTATGATCAGCAAACTTTACAGTCCCTGAGTCATGTAGTATGAATTCCACACAGGTTTTCTTTTCACTTTATTCCATTGGGACTTTCAGCTCCATCCAGATTTGTCATATTTTAATGAATTGCAGAAATCTAGAGAAATTGGTTCTAAGAAAATAAACTTGTTGAGATTTTAAGGGTAAATAATTCCATTCTTAAATTTAATTTTCTCTTAAAGGGGACAAGTACCCTGAGTAAGTACATCCTATTTAGTATTCTTGTCCACATAATCTAGGTATAGCCCATGTTACATTTTCTATCCCCATGCCTCCATCCCTCCCACCCTTCTTTCCTTCCTTCCTTCCTTCTTCCTTCCTTCCTTCCTTCCTTCCTTCCTTCCTTCCTTCCTTCCTTCCTTCCTTCCTTCCTTCTTACATTTCCTACTGCCACTTCTTCCTTCCACAAGGTATACATGGTTGCAGTTGTAACACAAATGCCAACAGCATCATGAGAAAATAGGAGGACCAGAATTGCAGCCTAAGAAAGTTAACTCAGGTCTCCTTATACAACCAGAAGTGGCGAAAGGGAGCTGCAAACTGTATCACAGATACAGAATTCTGGGGCAAGCCTCATCTGCCCCAGGTTTGGGTTGGCCAAAGTGCTCTTAAAGAGTGAAAATTCATTTGTTTTTTTCTAGGCATTTCCTTGGAAATGCCATTGTGGTTGGAAGTACTTTGTCCCCTGGAATTCACCTTGCCAGAAGTTATGTGAGGGCTCCTTTCAGTCTTTTTGAAGAGTTACAGGAGACATTCTGTGATTACAACAGGGGTTCCTACAGTAGTTCCCTTTAGGAAGCGCTAGCTTGTTCCTACTCTCTTTACCTAATCTTGACTTGCCCTCATCTATGAACATCAGCAAGAGTCGACTCACCCACTGGCTAACACTATGCAGAGAGAAATACATTAACTTGAAGGAAGAGAAGGAAGAAAATATAGAAAAAAATACTTCTGAGTGTTTAATTGCTTCTTAATTCCTCTAGCTATCTGTCCTTCATATGTTTTTACACAACATTACCCAAGGCAATATGCTATTGTAACTATGCTTACCCCTGATCACCCAGCACACTATGAGTCACTAAGCAAGAGATGCCTCTATTTTCATAATTTATTCTTCCTTTTAAGAGACTGTCCTCTGAGTAGCAAGCCTTGTGCTTGAGGAATGGTGATATGAGCCCCTTCCAGTCCAAATAACCATTATTGACTCTCCATGAAAGATAGCCATACAAAGGTAAAACATA